AATAAACACCATTATGAAAGCTAACTGAGGGGACAGATAGTCCAAATATGCCACCATAGCAAATCAACCTCAGCCACAGAATGGGGTATTGGCACCTCTCCTCCTTCCCTTCCTCTTTCCAGCCAGTTCACAACAATTTGTGGGGAGCAAGTCCTTAGATGATCTCTGAAAAGATCCTGGGTTCCTGGGCCATAGACTGTCCTCAAACTCTTCAAGACATGGGTAGCAAGGGGGAGAGGGCCAGAGTACTGAAGTTCTTCTCCAGAGGATACTGTCAGGAAGCCCAAGGCAGAGATGGTCCCTATGCCCCATGTTTCCATGGAAACATAGGAGGAGTGATGACAGCCAGCACAGCCACACCATCTGCTTGGGACCTGATGAAAGATGGAAAAAAGGAATGAAAAAGAGAGGCACCTCAGATCCCAGGCTAGAACCACTTTAAGATACCAGCAGATAGGAAAAGAACTGAAGATACTAGAACTCCTGGGTGGTTTAAAATCCAACCTGCCTTAGGCTCTACATATTAGCATGTAATTTGCAAGCAGAAAGCTTACAGGGTTTATCCTGCAATTCCTAGACACAGTTACAATCACGCAAGAATCCTCTGGAAGGAGACACAGACTGCATGACGCTGCATGATGGAATTGGAAAGAAGGTGCAATGACAAAATGCTGGAGGAGGTGGGGTAGGGGCTCCCATCATATTCCAGCAAGACCACCTGCATGGTTCGTTTTTTTGCCAGGCATATTTTTTCTAGGGAAATGGTGGGATTATAAAAGGAAAATTCCCATCTGGTTCCAAAAGCAACCTTTGAGTTGCAGCCACTTCTTCTGAATAACACATGAATTAACACAGCCATGCAAGGTTTCTCTTCTCTCAATTCAAATCCAAAGGGACATCTTGGTTGCCATAGATTTGCTTCCCGGGCTATTTAGGAGGCTTCCAACTCCAGGCTGGAGAAATGTGAGTGGGGGCCTCACTAAGTGCACTCTAATGCCTGCCCCAGACTAAGCAAGATTCATTTCTTAGTCCCTCTCATTCACTGATTTAGCCTAAACCAACAAACCTGACCAAGGAAGCCCAGTAGTTCCTCTCATTTAGCTGCCTCCCACCCCCCACCTCCACTTTGGCTCTCTGCTCAGGAGCTGGTGGTTTTCATTCAGTTCTCTGTAGTATTGCCTACATCTATCTGGGGAACAAAGTCCTTCAAATCTCTAGGTCTTTGCACAGAAGCTACACCCACTCCCAGTTTTTATTTTTATCTTTAATTAATGTAGTTTCTTACTCCTTTACAAAACCAAACAAACCTTCCTTTTAGTTCTGGCATTCTAATTCCAGGAAGTCCAAGTCGTTTATTACCTTGCATTAAGGATCTATAATTTTGACAACTAGGTTAGGAGTTTATTTTGGTGTGTATATCTCTGGGCTGAAGGATAAAGGAAATATCTTACTAAGCCATATAAATGACAATAATGGGAAAAAAAACTCCCTATAAAGGCACTTGTTAACTAGCCTATATTTTACTTGTATACTATTAACTTACATTTATTTCCATGACAAACTTAGTAAAAATGGTAATGTTACAGGGCAGGGAGAGGGGCACCCCAGACCCTGCAAACCTGCCTGCTCTAAATGGGTTCTGCCATCCGCCACATCAACACAAAACAAATGAGACTTTAGTGGCAAGGAACTTTAATACAATTAGTGAACAATACAGAAAAGACAAAGAATATAGTTTCTAAATCAAGCACCCAAAGTTACCCGTCCCCTCTTGGGTAAAAGTCTACCCAAGTAGGATTGGCCCAGAGCAAGTCTCCAAAGTCTGTCACAAGTCTAAAGCATCTTCCAGTGGGGACCCACAGAAATGGATCAGAAACAACCAGACAAGTCTGGGAGGAAAAGAGTAAAATCAAAATCAAGACAAAAACCGCCATTGTCACCTCCCCATGGGTCTCACCCACATCTGTGTCACCCAGTCCACGACCAAAAGGCAAGCACAGTTTCTTCACGTGTCTCTCAGCTCCATGTGCCTCCTCCAGGTCTCTTCTGGCTCCATCCTGCCTCCTTCCTTCCTCAGTCTCTTCTGCAGCTTCTCTCTCTGCTCAGCAACACCATCCTTTTGGGTGGGGCAGGAAACCTGGAAACTCTCCCTTTCCTGGGGACCACCCTGTTATAGTATCTACAACTATTTTTTGGGTGTCTTCAGAAGTCCCTCTTTGCCAACTGGCTACTATTCACAAACATGGAAATAAAAGTATTAATAAAACGTTCCCATGTGAGAGGTCCCAAACAGAAAACAGAAGCTAGTCCCAAAGGAAAAAAAAAAGAAAAGACCTGCCCAACAGTAAAATTGTTTAGGATCAAGTATACTCATAGGTTAACACTGTGTTTAAATTCAAACACAAATCTTCCCATTCCTTACATGGCTTTTTTGGGAGAGGCCTTTTATGACTAAACCAGGCCACCAGATCTGTAGCCCCCAGTGCCTTCTCTCATTCCTTTTCCAGGACCATCTATTTATCTTCAGCCTCCACTGTGAGGCGAAATCTGTATCTTTACAGATTTAGGCCCTGGATGGGATTCCCAGTAAACATGGTTCTGTTTGCTCTGCAACAGTCCTCCTTTGTGTAAACAGATGTGGTGGGAAGGGAAGGAAAGCCAGATCTCTGAGGGGCGGGAGGTCTCCTTTCTGGAGAAGCTTCCTGGCTGCAACCACCAGCACAGAGACAGGATACATCCCCTGTTCAGGCAGTGGAACTTGCAGTTCTTCCAAAGAGGGGCTGATCTGCTCGCTATCCTCCAACCTCACCCCCATCCTTTGTTCCTGGGAATGCAGTCTGGATGTCTCAGGCATCTCTTTTGCCAGAGCAAACATTTCCAACAAGGCTTATGCTAAGGAGGTATTAGGAAGACAGAATGTTTTCCCTTTTTTCCAAATACTCTATAGACTAGGATTTGGGAAAACAGCCCTTTACACCTGAACTTTCTCTGCATTCATGTTACCTTTGTTCTTTTTTTTTTTTTTTAAAGATTTATTCATGCATACAAGAACTGGGGTACAGGCCAGAGGTGCAGGGGGTGGGGGCAGAGGATTCACTAGAGACAGAGTGAGGAACAGAACAGGCACACTGACTGAAATACCCTGCTGAGAGGAGCAGTGGGCAAATCAGGAGAGGTCTGCTGTGCCATGTGGGTAGCTCCCTGGCGGGGGATCAAATTCTGCTACAGAGGCTTCAGATAGCTTCACAGTGCTGTGCTTAACCCCTTGTGCCACCAGGGAGGCCCACCTTTGTTCTTTTGTAGTCTTGTAATCACTTTCAAGGAATGAAGAAGGTTTTTAAGGGCTGGGACTTGTCAATTTGTAAAATAACAATTAGAGTGATGCCAACTCTGCCTTAATTTATTGTCTTACATTTTGCACAATAATGCTGGATGCTAATAAAGAAAGAACTGGAGGGAAATAAGAGGATTGAATTTTTCTAATCCAGCCCTGAATAGGAAAGAATTCTTATTGGTCTCATTGATGTTCTACATTTCCTCTAGATTTAGCTTATTAATCGTTATTCAGAAGTCAGAGAGGTGAGGAGAGTGACATTCACGCTTCACCCTGGAGAGATCCTGTGACTTCTAGCCAAGGATAGAGATTTCTGGAGCTCCAATGTGGGGAAGGAACAAAGAAAAGTATCAGAAATTCCCCAGCAAGGGCAGGGAATTGGGGTTTTGTTTCAAGTGGTGGAACATAACGACACTGCTCTCTCTAGGAATTCTCTGGAATCCCGAGTGAGGCTTCCAGAGCTGTGGCCAAGAGGACAGGAGAGCCAGGGATTGGAGGAGGGGTTCTTGGTTCTAGGCCAGCAGCAGAGAAACAGCTGTGGCACTGATCTGGAGGAGAGCTCCTCAGCATCTACAAAAGTAAGGGAGGGGGAATATGTTCTTTAAAATGAAAGAACTCATAATAATAATAGTTCAACTGCTAAGAACCACAATGATACTCTATCACCCTTCCGGCTGAACAATACACCACTCTCCATAAAGAGATGGGGTAGGACGTTAGCAGTTAAAGAATTAAAAAGAAAGGAGGCTGGTTTCCAGGGACTAGACAGTTGGAGAACAGCGGGACCACCGCCGTAGGCCAGACTGCAGGTCCTGTGGGGAGAGCTTTCCTCCCTGCCTCCCTTTATTTCACTTAACTTACTCCAAATATTTTAAACGATTTGTTTCCGGGACGCTGCTGTAGGCTCCACAGTTAACTCTCCTTGAGCCTGGGGGATTTCCCAGCACCCACTCCAGATCTGCAGCCGACACCCCGCCCACGGGAGCGCCCAGCAGGGTCAAGCGAATTCTGGGCCCCAAAAGAAGTACGTGCAGATCTGGAAGGACCGAGTGCAGCCCGGGAAGGGCCCGAGGTAGAAGATGCGGCAGACGGGGCTCGGCTCAGCATCTCCCTTCCAGGCAGCGCCGCCGCCTTTCCACTCGCTCCAGCTCGCGGGGCAGCCCCGGGCACCCTCCGGGCTGCGGAGGCTCCCGCGGGCGGCGGCGGCGGGCGCAGAGGGGCGGCGCGGCCTGCGAGCGCCGCGGGACCCCGACGAGGCGCGGGGAGCGCAGGGGCGCGCGCGGCGCGGGGCTCACGGCGCGCGCGCGCCTCGGCCTCGCCCGCGCACACGCGCCTCCCGGAGGAGAAAGAGGCGGGCGGGCGGGCGCAGAGCTCCGCGGCGGCGGCTGCAGCGGGCCGGGCCGCCGCGAGGGAGGGAGGAGGGGCGGGCGCGGGGGCCGGGGGGGCGAGGCGGCGGCGGCGCGGCGCGGCGGGCTCGCCGCTCTCTCCAGAGTGTGCCTGCGCGCGAGCCGGCGAGCGGGTGAGTGCGCCGGCCGCTGCCGCCCGGCCGATCGGCGGGGAGTCGTGGGCTGGGGGCGCGGGGAAGCCAGACTTGGGGGGCGGGCGGCGGCGGGCGGCGGCTGCTCCGGCGCGGCGGGGATGCACCTTGAGCGGCGCCTTTCGTTGCAGCGCGCGGGCGGCCCGAGCCTCGGCAGCGGCGACGGCGGCGGCGCTGACACCTCCCACCATGGACAGCTTCGACTTAGCCCTGCTCCAGGAATGGGACCTCGAGTCGCTGTGGTGAGTCCCCGCGCCGGGCGCCGGGGCGGGCGGGAGCGGTCGAGGCTGCCCGCGCGCCCTCACCTGGGCTGGGGGCTCTGGACTGCCGGCCGCCGTGGGGGTGGGGTGGGCCGGGGGCGCCCGCCTTGCGGGTTCTTTTCTGCTTCCCCTGGTGGATGCGAGACTGCCTTCCCATATTCTTGCCCTCCTTTCTGGTGCTCTCTGCCCCAGTGCTGCCCGCCCCAGCCCTGGGGCCGGTAAATCTAGGTAGCCAGGGGGCAGAGCGCAGCCGTGGAGAGAAAAAGAACGTTTTCTAGAACGTGTCACTAGTGCCTGGGGATCCACCCCTCGGCCCCTAGCCCCTCTTACTTCCCTTCCCAACGTTCGCATCCCCTCCTTCTTCAAGAGCCTCTGGTTCACACCAGGACCCCCTGGAGTTGGAGCCGCTGCAAAGTGCCCTTAGAGGATGCTCCAGCCTCTTGCCTGTCTGCTCCGGGTCTTGGCGGCTGCATCCTTTCTGTCTCTCCCACCCACTTCCACCAGAGATGGAAAGTGAACACCCAGGGCTGGGGGGCCAGTGTTTCTCAGGGCGGGAATTCCGGCAGCCTTGGCCCAGGGAGTCATTTCCTCGAGGTTCACAAATCCTTTGGGTCCTTTCTTCACACCTCTCCACAGTTGTACTCCGCCCCCCCCGCCCCCCCCCTCCCTGGCGCCCGGTGTATCCCTTTATGCCACACTCGTAGCTCACAGGCTGGGGAGCGGGTGGTGCGCGCTGGGGTTCTGTGACTCGGTGTTCTCACACTGAGGAGCTGCTGTAGGTAAATCGCCGCTAGAAGCAGTTTAATTCCAGTTGCGGGTGTCTTAAAAATCCCATTGGCTGCTTCAGCATCTCTTACTCTGCTCCCCCCAGGCCCCATCTCTAAATGTTTCCAACCTACCCTCTTCAGGTGGTAAAATTACTGCCTGCATATTCCTGGAGGAACTGGTGTTATGTTTAATATTTACGGGAATTTCTGCTGGAACAACATATTAACAGCACTCTTTTCTGCCTCTGGTAATCGCTTATTGTAGAACTGAGCCCCCCCCCCCCCCTTTTTTTTTTTTTTTTGCTTTAATTCTGTAAAGAGTTCTTATGTGTCTAAAACTGCAAGTGGTGTGCACATGAATATGCAGCGTACGATTTTAAAGCTAAACTGCTGTATAATTTATGGATCATATAGATGATGTGTGGACACGTATATTTTTTTCAGTGATTTAGGCTTCTAGTGACTTTTATTTTTCTGAAGCTAGGTGTAACAATCTAAGCTGGACACAAAGCTAGCACATTATTGAGCAGTTTCTTATAAAAGATCTGATGATGAGCAAGTACAGCTGGCTCTGCATAATGCTGGCGCCTATAAAACACACAAGGCTGGGCCCTAATGTAATAAAACTTTTATATATTACACTGGAAACTTCAAAGAGACAGTGTAGAAAGAATATGAAACATGTTATTACTCTATAAAAGTTGCTAATTACTGTGTTGTTGCTTCTGGGGTTATTTCAGCCTTTCATTTACGGATACCTATTATTTTACAGGTTTACAGTTAGAATGTTGGTTTCTGGCACAAATTCAATAGAATCCAGGTAGAAACTGTGCTTCAAAAATGATTTTTTTCTTTAAAAAGGCAGTTTTTCAGTCAAAAGGAATAACTTACTATTTTGGCATATTTTTTATGCTGTTGTCTGCTTGCTGACTCAAACTGAACTCCCTTGTCATTTTCATAAGTAATATTTTGAAATTTATCAACAATAATTTGTGGGCTTTTCCAGCACAGAGCCTGAGTTTTGTTTCCCTTTGCATCCTTAGTTCACATCTGGTTTACCTGGAGCACAGTTATACAATAAATGTCTCTTGTATTGACTTGAAATTTATATTAGACACAGCACATTTATTATTTTTTAAAATAAAAAATTAAGCATTAAAAACGTTGCCATATACACAATCAGATTTTCATCAAGGCGTCAATTTATTTTGGCTTATGAACATGCAAGGTTCTTTGCTTGCCATTAAATAGGACAATTTGACTTGACTGAGGAAATGTTTTTAATTTGCCAACGTAGAATTTACATTTTACAAAGCATATCTATTTCTCAGAAGTTAAAGATAAACCAAGCTCCTTGAATATGGATTTCTAACACAAACATTTCTCAGTCATGGATGAATTTATAAATGGCATTTTCTATCTCAACTTCATGATTTAATTTTAAGTTTATAAGTTAAGTTTATGGCTTAATTTTAAGCTTACAGGTGATCCAGAATAACTAATACTTGAATACTTTCTATGTGTCAAATGTTTTCATAGCTATTGTTTTCTTATTTGAAACTCATAACAATGCTGTAGGTGGAAGGTAGTGTAGTCCCATTTTATATACCAGGAAGTAGAGGCTTTGAACTGTTAAATGACTTTACTGAGACAATAAAACAAATAATACTAGATTTTTTTATATTAACATTTACTTAACACCTGCCATTTTCCAGATGCTATTCTAAGTACATTGTTTTAATTCTGTCCTAAATGTTAAATATTTTAGATCATCTAATCCTTACAACAACCCTACAAGCAAGTGCTATTATTACTCCCATTTTACAGATTGAGAAACTGAGTGCAGGAAGGATAGATAACCATTCTAGGTCACATATTTGGAAGCAGAGAGATCAGATTCAACCCAAGTATTTATTTGCAAGCCTAGTTTTCTAACTTTATTAGGGTGGCTCTTAAATTAAGTACAAAACAAAATCTTGATGGACTGGAAGTGAAGCTTCTCTTAAAATATCAAAAAGGTCAGAACCCTAAATGATAGTCATCTGAAATTAAAAATGTAAAAACAAAATACCATGATTTAGGAAATTATGCATATCCTATATATATTAACCTGTTACAGATATATAAATTTCAAATAAAAGCCCCAAAATCTTTTTCCTTTAATTCACCTTAGGAAAAATACCTTTCTTTGGAGGGGTGGGGGAGGCTGCAGGTTAAAGACAAAAGAAAATTGTATTTTTATCCCTAATGATTTTATTTTCTAATTGGTAGGCATCTTTTTCCAATATAACAAATTTCAGTCTGTTGGTTGTGACTATGACTGAACCTGAGCTAGCTTAGTCTGTTGGTTAAAGAGAGACCCCAGATGACTGTATATGAGAGAAAAGCTCAGTACTTGAATATTAATCTATATAGAAAATCAATTGATAGTTCAAGAACCATCTCTTTCCCCCTTTTTTGCAGACCTTTCCCGCTACCTAAACATCCATCATTATTTTTCAGTGAGGACCTTAGAGCCTGAATTATTCATATAGCTATTTCAATATTTCTTTTAGACCATACCCTTTGAGAAGGGTAGCCCTCATTTTCACCTATAATTTCACTTTCCATTTCTGGTGTGATGCAAGAGTAGAGAACTGAGAGCAAGGTGAAGGCACTCTTGGGCACCCAGCTCCATAGCATCATTCTGTGCACCTGAATTCCTGAAGAGCTGGAATTCATTGAGTTTACAAGGACAGATATCCAGAGGAACACACCTCTTGTCAATCTCACACTCCATTTCTCTCTGCCCTCCTTGTTCTCCACCAGCTTTTGATCAACTGCTAGAAATATAAGCCATTCTTCAGGGCCCTTAAAATTATGGCTTTCATTTTTAGCAGGCTAACTGTAGCTTTCATTTATTCACCTGACAAATATTTATTGATTCTCTCTTAAGTACATGACTCTGTGCTGGTTGTTGTAAGGCAAACAAAGATGAGTAAACTGTGGATTGCTCATGTTATTTAGGGGAATGAGCCAAGTGCCCACACAGAAAGGAAGTTTTCAACACTCATGATCCAAAAGAAAGAGCATATTTAGGGTGGGGTGGGTGATGGAGGAGGGAAAGAAGAAAAATTGAGTTAAAAAAAGACTCCTATGGAAATGGTAGCCTTTGAACCAAGCCTTGGGAGATGAGTAGGATTTTTACAGAAAGTGGGGACATAGAGGCAACTTTGGCAAAGAAAAAACTTGAACAAAGGACTTCATGATGCCTCTGAAATATGGTGGTATTACCTATAGCAAGTATTTTAGACTGTAGATCATGAGATGGTTTCAGTCTATAAGAAAAGTTTCCCAAAATGACCTTAGTCAAAATCATATTTGGTCTTCCTTAAATTCAAATGTCTTTTAGTTATTGGGGAGAAGGTATATACAATACAAAATACAAAAATAAAATACAATAGTAAACATTCAGATACCTCTCGACTCTTTCCCTCCCATAACTTCACGCAGACCAGAATCCATTTACTTTTGATCAGATGGCATTATATTTTATATTTCCAATTGGAATCTTTGAAATGGACGATAGTAAATGGGTTGTTTCATCCTCACCAATTTGTCCAGTTCAGTAAACATTGGTAGAGTGTTAGGCATTACTTGAGGATAGGTATTGTAGAGCAGAGGCTCTCAAACATTTTAGACAGTGACTCACAGTAACGAGTATGTTTCACATCGCAGCCCACTCCCTCATTGAGCGGCATACACGGAACTGAAACAAGTGCCATGAAATAACACTTATTCACACTTACTATGTGTGATCGATGTGTGATGCACTTTGATATTTTCTATTCTAGTTTTTCCTTTTCTTAAAAAAAAAAATTCTCATCCACGGGTTGAAAACGGCAGTTTAAAAAAATCCTACTGTAAGGGATGCAAAGGAGTGTTTGCTGAGAACTTGTAGGCGTAAGTAAATACACTCTGCAATATAAGGCCTACACTGCACTTTTGAAGGGGAGGAGGTGTGCACTCCTGAGAGTAAGAGACCTTCGTGCACGTGGTATTTGAAATGGATCCTCCAGAAGTCAGATCTCAGAAAGGAAATAAAAGCACAGAGAGACCATGTGAAAGGATGACTATGAATAGAAATAAGGTGAGCTTGTTGGTTAAGTATGAGCTTGTTTGGTTAAGTAATTAACTAACACAGGCTGGGGATGGACTACACTCCTCTAGGGGGCG